TGTTCGATGTAAGCAGAGGAGCTGAGAGTTAGACCCACATTTTAATGTCAGTGCTTGCACTACCCGTTTGTTCCTTACCTGATGTCTTAGAGGGACACTCACCTAGGCATTCCCTGACTCGAGGCAAAGGGGGTTTTCCCCTCCCCCACCTGTCCATGATGAAATGCAAGCAGAACTGAGCAGAGCATATTTTAGGTTGGGAGCCACTAAAACTTCAGATCTGCCATAATGCAGATCTAGTTGCATAGTGCAATATGATATGGGAAATTTTAATAGCTGACAATGTAACTGCACAAATTAAAGTCATGCAAAATCCCTCTTACGTAAATGATGTATTCCCTTTTTATTATTTGTTGACTCAAATAAGATACCTGACACATGTCCTGAAAGACTGAGATCTCTCTCTTTCGCTCGGGGGTGTGTGTGTCTTTTAATCTTCACTGACATTATGCAAAATATTGTGTTATACAAATAAAGCATTGTACTTTAGCCAATTCTTGCCACATTTAACTGACCTGTTGAAATTCTTAATCTCATGCTATATTGTACCTCCTGTATCGAGACTGTGCAATGCTAAGCAGAGTTTTGCCCTGCTATGTCCCCTGAAGTCAGTGGCTTAGAAGGGTGTAACTCTGCTTAGGATTTCAGTGCAGGTGTAATTCTCTTTTGTCAACGTATACTAAAGAATGTTACAGAAACATTACAGTTTTATTTATGTATTTAACTTAAACCATTTTTATGCCTTCTTTCCACCCAACTTAGGGTCCCCAATGCAGTGAACAAAGAAAACATTAAAACAACCTTGAAAAAAAAAATATAAGAGAAGGGCTATAGCTAAGCAGTAGAGCATTTGCTTTGCATGCAGAAGGTCCCGGGTTCAATCCCTGGCATTTCCACTGAAAAGGAACAAGGGGTAGCTGATGTGAAAGGCCTGAGACCCTGGAGACCCACTGCCAGTCTGCATAGACAGTGCTGATTTTGATGAATTAAAAGTCTGATTCCATATAAAGCAGCTCTGTGTGTGTGTGCATAATTAATACAACAATAAATGAAACTCATAAAATAAAAATTAAAAATATAGGACTTTACTATCACAACCAGGATAGTAGGATGCTTTCGATGAATTAAAAGTCTGATTCTGTATAAAGCAGCTGTGTGTGTGTGTATAATTAATACAACAATCAACAAAACTCATAAAATAAAAATGAAAAATATAGGAATTTACTATCACAACCAGGATAGTAGGATGCGCAGTATGACACCCGTTCACTTTTCTGTATAAGCTTCAGAAGTACGGAATGCACACTCCTAGCAAGACTTGTGTGTGTGTGGTTTTCCCAGTCTTTAGAGGATGGTGAAGACCATTTTCCCCCATCAGGCAACAGGGAATCAGTCAGGAATTACCACTTTTACTTTTTAGGTAGTTTTAACTTTCTTACTGTGTTTCAGCAGCATTCTGCTGTCTACTTGTATTTTTATTTTGTTCATAAATTATTTCTGGATCCCCAGGAACCGCACTTTGGGGGTGGGGCTGCAGGGGCGGCGGCGGGGAGAGAGAGTCATGCTTTGCGGGTGGAAATTCTTCCACACACAGAAACGCTCCACTGGACCCAAGCCATTGTTCTTACCTGTCTTTGTTGCGCTATAAATATTTTCGATGGGGAAGACCACGCCTAGTCCGTACAAGAGCACTTTGGCAAGCGCTGGGATGAGCTGGGTGGTAGTGACCAAAACATTTACGCAGTTAGGCCTGCAAGACAGAAGACGGTGGTCAGTAGGGGAAACCTCCCCCACCACACACAAAAAAACAGAATCTTTGTTTCTCTGTTCTATTAGTTTGAACTGGAAAGGGGATGTTCTCCTTGCCAGCAGCTAGTCCCCCGAAAGCAGTCATTAACACAGCCAGCAGTGGACAGACTTTTAAACATTGTTTTTCTCTTCTCCGTAATTTGTTATAACTCATACGAGTCTGAAACTGAAGTACGTCATAAGTAATCACACACCTGGGACACAAAATGGTGTAAAACTCCAACAGCATTTTCACCGTGCCTCCCCCCGGACTACCAACTCTCTTTACTGTTTTCCTGCTTTCCACGAAAGTTGTTGCTTGGAGCCAAATTTTCAGTCTCTTTCTCCCCCACTCCCTTCCTTTAGGCAAAGCATGCCTAGATGGACCCCTCTCCCCTAGCAAATTGGGCCAAAGGTGTCTTATAAATATATGGGCCTTGGTTCATTTGGAGAGTAGCAGGAGAAAGTAGAGACTGTGCAGTCTGGAGACAATTCCTTAAGCCATTCTTACCGGGAATGTATCAAATCCAGAGCTTTCAGAGCGTGTGTTAGCCAGAGATCAGTCAGCGCTTCCAGTTCGGCTCTTAACTGCAGCCAGGTTTCCCTCTTAGGAGCTCCTATTAAACCTGCAGATAGAGAAAGCAGCATTTGTAGTTAAGCTCCAATGGGAAGGAGCTGAATCACTTGCATATGGCTTTGCAATACCGTGGAATCATAGAGCTTGGAATGTAGAAGAAATCTACCTAGACCAATCCCCCATCCAAGAGTCGGGACCATCCACCCACCAGCCATACATACATCCACTCACAATGCCAAGACAGCTTGCCAAAAGCCAAGACACAGCGACTGCACTGCAGAAAGTTGCTTGCAGCCTGGCCAATTTCAACTTTTCAAGAGCTGATCCTATAACATTTAACATGGAGCTATCCCCCTTCCACTAGGCTCTGCCTCCAGACCTCATCTGGTACCCCTATTTAGAATCTACAACTTTCCCTAGCCTCCTTCATACAGGGTTGCCAGGTACCCCCAGCACTGGTGTGGGGTAGGGGACTTAACAGCAGGAAGCCTAGGCCTGCGTCACTGGCACTCAGCGGAAGTGATGTCATTACACCACCAGTGACTTAGGGACGCTCTGGTATTTGGCAAAAACTCTAAGGTAGAAGTCATTTTTACCATAGAGTTTTTGCCCAGCTATCAGTGCTTCCAGTACGCACTGGAAGTGACATCACCGCACTACCAACAATGCAGGCTGAGGCCTAGTTTTCCTGCCAGTAAGTCGTCTGTTGGCCAGCTGATTAGCACTGGGAGGAGGGATGCCAGAGCAGGGGCTCCCCTACCCCCAGCAGAGGCTTGGAAATCCCATCTTTGTATCACTTTGTATCCAGATTCCTGGGAGGGCAAGGCATCCTTCCTCAAAACTGAAATGGCAGGGCAAGAATCAGGCCAGGCGCACCTCTTGCCACAGCATAGCCATGATCTTCCCACTGAGAGCTGGCATCAACATACCCAGAGGTAGGGCAGCTGCCAGGGCCCAGAGTTTTTGGCAGGGCCCTCTGCTGCAGTGCCCCCCCCCCATGCACACTGCCAGGGAAGGATGTGCAGGTGGGTATACATTGATAGCACTCCTGGCAGGTAGATCTGTACACACACACAGAGCACCATTGTAGAAAGAAGGCTCACAAATGGGTAGAGGAAGGAAGGACATAGGCAAGTGGGGATGTGTCTGGGCTGGATGCATGGCACAAGCAGGGGTCCTGGTGTGCCATGGAGGGGCCCTGGTGGTCAAAGGAGGAGGCCCCTGGGCACCCTCTGCCTGGAGCCCTCCAAAACCTGGAACTGACCTTGTTGCCACTGTACCTTCTGTGAACTCCCAGTGCCTCCTAGAAACCCAGCAGGTTAAAAAAAACCTTTCCCATCCAAATTATTTGTTCAGCAAAAAATGGCGGTTGTGTTGATGTGGCAAGGCCTTTGCTGGCCTCTGGATCCCAGCAAAGGCTCAGCTTCTGCAATCAGCCATGTGACTTTGTGGGGCTAAAGGATATTTCAGCAGAAGACACGAAGGAGGAATAATCTGAATGCCCAGAGCACTCATTTCTACACAGCTATTGCCTCTGACTATGAGGTTTTCACTGAGTCTCTGCCTTGAAATCTAACTTCACCTGATTTCAATAGGCTTTCACCCATCCTGTAAAATCTGGGTTAGGAGAGAAAATTACTAACTGATGAATGGGGTACTACACCAATTTAGCCTTTCATGAACCTGTACGGGTCAGGAGCTGACAATGAGGAAAACAAATTAGCACTCTTAAGTGACCTCTCTTGATCCATTATTTGTAACTGCTAATTCTGCTTCAGGCACACAGAGAGTTCACACTTTGAAGTTTTATTATATTCACACCTAACACCTTTCTATCGGTTCCCTCCCCATGCACAAAATCTACACTTGAAAGATTTATGGCGGAATTCACTCTCTGCCTTAACCTCGCCCCCCATTAATCTTCCCTTTATGTGTAATTCCTGGTATGATTTCTGTCTGGGGAGCTTTCCCAACTCTAGTATAACCTCCCCCTTCACATATTTAAAGAAGTGAGCTGTGATTCACAAAATAAACCTTGTTGAAATAAACCATATTGAAATAAACCTTGTCAGCCTTCAAGGTGCCACTGGACTTTAATGTTACCTACACAAATGCCGTCAAGTCACAACTGACTAATGGTGACCCCCAGAAGGGGGCTTTCAAGGGAACTGAGAAGCATAGGTGGCTTGCCATTGCCTTCCTCTGCAGAGTCTTCCTTGATGCCCTGCATTGGGCAGGGGGTTGGACTAGATGGTCCGTATGGCCCCTTCCAACTCTATGATTCTATGATGGTTCTCCATCCAAATAACCACCCTGCTTAGATTCCGAGATCTGATAAGATTGGGCTATACCACGATGCCCCCCCCCTAATCTGAAGGGTACCTTATATATTTCCCTCAACAGCACAAAGAACAGCCCTGGGACTAAGACTGCAAAAAAGGTATTGAGGAAGTACAGATTAAACAGCACTTCTCCCACAGCCTTAGTGTTGGGTATTACAAGTTGAAAACACTCAGTATATCTGGGGTTAAATGTTTGTTTATGTTACTCACAGGAAGTCACATGTTTCTCATGTAACCAATGTCCTTTAGATGTAGAAAGCCCGGGAATTTTCTCCCTGATCTAGGAATTTGATTGGGACTAAAGTGTCAAGGTGTATTACCATTTTATGGCTTCTCTTCCCCTCTTTGTTTGGTGTTCTGAAGAACAGGAAGAGTAGCCATACTCTCTCTCTTCTAGTTTTGTCTTTGTAGAGTAAGGATGCTCTGTTGTTATTTTCATCCCAGTTACCCTTCCCATGCTAGAATTTAGTAAAAACTTTATATTTTAATCACACATGGACTCTGTCTGAATTATTTTACTCTGGCTCTGCTGGAACATCTTATCTCTGCTAAATACCAATTTTTCAGTATCTCACTATCAACCAACACTTAGCCAAATCGGGCCACCCTATAGATGCTACTGACCTGTAAAAACAAGGAATTTCTATTCACAGATCTCCCAATAGCTCCTCTAGCTTGACCCAGATATGGTCTTGAATGAGCTCTGAACATTGCTGGAAGCATTTGTGCCAGTGAAGTTAAAAACTAGTTCAGAGAGCACCTCGGGATTATTATTATTTTTTTGGGGGGGAGGGTATCTTTGTCAGCTGCTCATGTGAACCACTAAAACACATTCAAGAGAACATGCACAGAACTTAAACAATAACCATTAAAGGTGCAGACTATTTCCTCCAGATTCGTGACTGCCTGAGAGGAGCTAACGGTATGAGATGAAGCAGACGGCCAGATTGTTCCAACCAGTTATTATTTCAATTCCCCCGAAAAGCCGTGTGCCAAGTCATTATTCCCATTATACACGAGAAGGTCATTACTCTGGATAACGGCATGAATTGCACATGTTTAAAATACCTGGAGGGGCAATTGTCCTTACTGATCTTTCTTTTGTCATTGTTCTGGTTCCAGCTATGTGGCAGATGTGATGATGTAATACCAGGTCTTTTGCACAGTGAAAGGTACTCGGTTCCAGCATGGATGCTTCTCCCCACTGTCTTGTTGAAGGCAGTTTCTCCACTGATATTCTTCCTGATCTACAAGTGACCATCACAAATGGCCTTGACAGCACACTATATATATGTGTGTGCGTAAAGTGCCGTCAAATTGCAGCTGACTTACAGTGAGGTTGTGGGGATTTCAAGGCAAGAGACCATTGACTTCCTGTGCATAGTGACTCCCTGGACTTCTTTGGTTGTCTCCCATCCAAGTACTGACCAAGGCCGACCCTGCTTAGCTTCCGAGATCTGACGAGATCGGGCTAGCCTGAGCCATCCAGGTCAGGGCTGGCAGAGTGGGTAAAGACTAACAAACGTATGCCACAATATATTTGTTCGTTTTTAGGTTACCAGAAGGCTCTTTGTTGTCTTAATAAACTAGCTATTCAAAATCTGCTTCCTGGAGATATTGAAAATGAAGTAAAATTTGATTAAAAAGAAGAACATTTCCCATTAACAACATCCTCTTGGGGGCTTCTCTGCAAAGGTCTCTGCAAAGGTCTCCCAACAAAGTGATGGTGTAGATCAGAGGTTCCCAAACTTATTTGGCCTACCGCCCCCTTTTCAGAAAAAAAATTACAGTGCCCCCCAGACATCCACCTTCAAGAAGTGGACAAAAAGATGCAGTTTGTGGACCTGCACCTGGATCTTTCCAACCCACGTGGATTGTTCCAGCACCCCCGAGGTGGCGGTATTGCCCACTTTGGGAACCAGTGGTGTAGATGGAGGAATGAAACAAAGGTTACGCCTGCAAACATATGTCTGTGCATGACTGCAATAGAAGGTAATGGTGCGTTTTCTGGACTGAGCACATTGGTTAATTTAATGCCGGCAATGTGGCCCAGGCAAAAAACATTTCACCACCGTGTGGACCATGTAACGACAACAGAAGAAACGAAGCAAGGGTAGAGCAATCTTGCTCCCATCGGCCAGCCTTTGGTTCAAACATCAAGGCTACAACACCTGCTTTGAACAGTCCATGTTGCTTCTCAACTCATCTAGGAGAACTGGAAATTAATACTGAAAACACTTCCTCTCCTCTGGTACACTCATTTCTTCACACTTTCAAGTACATAAGGCTGCATCTGGTCTGAGGAACAGGAAGACCAGGCTTTTTAGGAAGATGGGAAGGAACATTCCCTGATGGGCTGGAGGGACACTTACCGCCAACATTGTTTTTGTAGGTGTTGTAGAGCTCTTTCACCCGCCGGTAGCGGAATGCTAATTTCCTCATCCAGTCAACTCCCCCATGAACTCCGGAGCCCAGACACAGATTTGCTCCAGCGGCTGAACTGTGAAAGCCATCTGCTGAGAAATTATATGTGCTGTGGCAAAGGAAGGAGGGGAAAGGAGAAGAGGAGAAATTATAACCAGTGTTTCCCATTAAGATGAAGGCAGTAGAAAGAAGGAAGAGGACAAGATGTCACAGACTTTTAGTCCTGTGAGAGACAAGAATGAAATAAAACAAACATTCTCCCTACTCATTTATCCTGTAGGTTTGCTTTCTCTGATTAGGATTTAGATATATTGCACCAAATCCTCAAATATAGTTCCTGTATGCTTTTAATCAATGACAATGGGGGGGGGGCAAAGACCACAACCCACATGGAAGTTTGTGCATGCCCTTTCGAAATGAATGGGAACTGAACAAGAAATCCCATTCATTTCAATGAGGCCTGCATAGAAGAACTTCCAGGTGGACTGTCACCATATACTAAAACAGGGGTGGCCAAACTGCAGCTTGTGAGTTGCATGTGGCTCTTTCAGTCTAATTTAATGCAAATTTGCATACTTTTCAATGAAAACATGTGTGTAATATTTGTTCGTCTTGTGGCTCTCAAATATCTGACATTTATTCTATCTGGTTGTTACGTTCAGCAAGTTTGGCCACCCCTGGACTAAACCATCTTCAATTTGCCTTGTACCTCATTCTCAGAGGCCAAGGCGTCAACAAGTTGTAGCATCAGTGTCATGTAGGGCTTTTTTTCTGGGGGAACGCGACGGAACAGAGTTCTGGAACCTCTTTAACAAAATTCTTTTAAAAATGTTTAAAAGTTTGTGAGTGTTCAGTATACAGATTGAAAACTTCATTTCCCTCTTGAAAGTTCCAGCACCTCTTTAAAAAGAAAGAAAGAAAGGCCCCGGTGTCATGTACTTTCAGACATTGTTGGTGTGATGGAAAGAGACAAAGTGATGGAGTGGTTAGAGCAAAGGTGTCAAACTCATTTATTACAAGGGCCGCCCGTATCTGATACAAATGTCACTTTGTCAGGCCGGACCACGTGTGCCATAGAATGTAATGCCAGGTACCAGAGATATAAACTTTATAAAGGATACAGGCAAACCCAATTAACAATATTATTTTTTACTCAAAATACAAACATGCTTAAAACATTAAAACTCTTACAGTACTTCCTCAAAGTATCTCCCTGATGCCTGCCCTCCCACTTCCACCGCCCATTACGCATTAGCACTGGGACAGTATGCAGGGACATCATGCCCAGCCTCTGTCATCTGGTAATAAAGGTAATGACCAGTTGCTTGCGGGCCAGTTAAGAGCCCTGGATGAGCCGGTTCCGGCATGTGGGCCATATGTTTGACACCTCTGGGTTAGAGTGTTTGACTAGGGTCTGAGAGACCCAAGTTCGATTCCCCCAAACAGTAATGGAAGATTTCTGGCTGTCCTTGGGCTAGACACTCTCTCAGCCTAACCTACCTCATGGGGTTGTTGTGAGGGCAAAATGGAGGAAAATAATGTAAGCCACCTTGGGTTCCAAATTGGAAAGAAAGGCAAGTAAGTAAGTAAGTAAGTAAGTAAATAAAATACTGTATGCATGAAATCCAATTTAAAATGTTATGGTACCATCTCATTTGGTAGTATTCAAAAGATAATACACACTGAGTCAAAGCCGGGGATCAGCAGATCAATTTAAAAAATAAAAAAATAAGCCTTTGCTATACAGAACAAGAGCATTCTGGGATATGATGGGAGTTCCCTTAAAATGAGCCTGTATTTTCTGTGGTAAATGGAAGTGGCAGATTTACATGCAGAAGGTCCCAAATTCAATCCCCAGCATCTCAGGTTAAAAAGGACCAGAGAGCAGCTTGAGAACCTGGGGAACTGCAGCCAGTCAGAGCAAACAACACTCACCTTGATAGACCAGTGGTGTGACTCAGTATAAAGCTGTCTCATGGTTTCACATACCATTGCCATGGGGATTGTAATCTCTACGTGAAACATATAGTACTATGCCACTGTTAGAAAATAATAATGTTCCAATATGGCATTTCCTTTATGTGACAAGAATTCCTGCCCTGGGTTTTAAATAGGGTTGCCAAGTGGAACTTACCTTGGCGGCAGGGGACTCCCGGGTGGATCCCAGAGCGCGCGCGCCGCACACACATCACCAGGAAGTGACGTTATGCTGGGGGCAAGGCCACGACCATACAAGGGAAAACCATAGAGTTTTCCCTTGTATGGCCGTGGCCCCACCCCCAGTGTGCCCGCACATCTGGGAGGAGTTCCCCCCGGGGCCTGATCCGGTGGCGCCGGGCCTCTGGGGCGGGTGTTTCCCCGCCCCCCGGGGGGACTTGGTATCCCTAGTTTTAAGACATTAATGAATTCCGCTAGCTGTCTTCCAGATATTAATATATATGATATGCTTGCACTGGGCACTGTAGAACAGAAAGTGCCTTACCTTAAATCTTGCCCATTGTCATCTGATGATACATCATCTATGTGTATCTGGTCACAGTCCTGAAAAACATTTCCAAAAATAGTCAGACAGGAAGTGAGTATTGCTTTGTAAAAACAACAACGGAGAGATTTTGTGCAACAGAAGCCAAGCTGAGGGAAGATTCCCCCTGCAATTTCTGGTTAATTATAGTAATCAGGTTACAAGCAAAATTTCAGATACTGCTTTCCCAGAACATGAACATTATGTGCTTAAACAGACAACGAATGAGGTCACTCATACAATTCTTTATTCACCTAAGGGGAAATTGTTTCTTACTCACTGGAGACAGTGCTGGAAACACAGAAAGAAACATCACTGTCTTTCAACAGGAAACCATTGTTAAAAGTTTATGGGTCCAAACCTGCAATCTTTCTTCTTTAAAGAGCAGAAACTGCTAAGGAAAACCAACGTACACAGTTGTATACTTAAGTAATAAAGTTTAACTTATTTAACTGGCCAAATGTTCTGAGATGCCAACTATAATTCATAAGGTTGGCTGTTGCGTATGAACAGTAGCTCCAAACTAAAGAAATCTGAACTAGCAATTTCGAGTACACAGTTAGGTGGTGGCAGTTATTTCACAATAACACAATACAAAGGTATGAACTTTTGCACCAACACAGTATAAAGAGAAATTTGCCATGTGGCACAGTTCCCTTTGTAATGAGTATACGTCCCACCACTGCTTCAAATACAATTTCTGTTCTCTAATTGGCCCAACTGCATTGGTTGACTATTTGCTTTTGGGCCAATTCATAGTGCTGATTATCACCTTTATGGCTCTTCATGGCTTAGGGGGTCTTCATAACGCTCGAACTGCATCTCCCAGGATACTCCTCTGCACTACTTGTGTTCCTCAGGCAGCCTTCTCCTGGTGGTACCCTCACTTAGGATGGTCCATTTGACAACAGATTGGTCTTGGGCATCCTCTGGAATGACTTATTAAGAGTGGGTACGGCAGGCGCCTTCACTTGCTGCATTCAGGAGGCTGTGTCCTGTTCCAGAGGGCATTTGGTGGATAACATGCTGTTTTAACTGCATTCACTCTTGTCTACTGGCTTTCAGCTCTGTGCTTTAAATTCTGTAATGGTTTTAATTTGTTGGGCACCTGTGGTGTTCTTTTTTTCCCCTTTCTTTTTTTTTTAGTATTTTGTGTGTACGTGTGTGCCTGGAAGTCATGGTGACTTCTGGCGACACCTACTGGGGCTTGGATGTTTTCAGAGAGGTGGCTTGCTATGCCTGCCTCTGTGTCCCAGCCCTGGTATTCCTTTGGAGGTCTCTCATCCAAGTACTTGCCAGGGTCGGCCTTGCTTAGCTTCCAAGATCTGATGAGACTGGGCTTGCCTGGGCTATCTTGTTTTTATAATATAAGTTTGGTCACTCTGTTTCAGCCCACGTGGCTTTTTAACAGAAGGAAGGAAAGAAAAAAGCTACCCGCCTGAATCTATAGAGCACTTTGGTTTATTTAATAGTGGGGAAAACATTGGTTGAGTTTTTTGAGATTTAACATATGTTAAGTAACAATGGTTTTACTACGAATATTTTAAAAAAACTTTAAAAACTAATTCTTCCTCAGATTTTTCAATGCGGCATATATTTATTTAAATATAATTGATTAACTAGTTGAAGGCAGAATCAGCTATGAAAAATCTTTGCTCAGCTGACAGCCCTACACAGATACTGTATAAAGCCATACAAAAAGGTGAGGTGTGAACACAGCTCTAAGTGCCAAACTACATTTTCTGTCAATGTGACAGGGCTACAGTGCTCTGTAATAACTCCAAATATTTTACTGGGTAGTCTGATACGTACATTTTCAATGCCTAAAATGTAAATGCCGGTGGGATTTATATCACAGAAAATGTAAAAGCTAGATAAGATGCCAGAAAATCTGTGAATGAATCTCTAGAACATTTCTATTGCTCAAAGAAAACAAAACAACTGCAGAGGGTCTGATTCGGACTAGGGCCTGTGTGGTGTGAAGGGGGGAAGGGAGGGGATAATTCTTTTCCCTCATGAAATTTTCCTAACGTCAACTGTGCTCATCCACCCCAAACTGATATTTGCTCCACTGGGGGGAATCATACAGGTTGCTTGCAGAATACCTAAATGTTTTCTCCTTGGGGGAAACAAACAACAGCTTGGGGAAGGGGTCTTTTAAGGACCAGCAAATGGGGAAAGGAAAAAAGGTTAATCCTCTGCCTCCCTGTCTGGAGGTCCAAAGAGAATTCCTCCTCACTCATGGCTGCTATTTAACAATGAAAAGAAGACTGGAGATCCATTCATGTGTATATTTAAAGGTGTGTCTGTTTCAGCATTCTTTAAAAAAAATGTCTGGAAAAAATATGGGGAAAAAATCTTGCTGGGGATGCGAATGTTGCTTTATTTGAGTTATGTATGTTAGAAGGGAGACTTCCTATCGGCAAAGCTGATGTGCCAATTCCATACTGATAGTTATATCTTTAGTTCCTTCCTTCCTCAGTCAGCTTTATACTACATGGCGCAAGAAAGCAGAATTAAAAGCAGATTTCTGCTAGTATGCTCCCATGTCTTTCCCAAATGATAAAAAAACCACATTGTCTGTTGTGCACGCAGATTGTGAAAGCCACGTTGGAATGATATTGTCCTGGCCCACTCAACTTCAGTTGTGTTGTGCTGTGCAATTATGTCAGGGGAAAGGCATTTGTGGGGGGATCTGCTTTTCTCATTTGTGAATGAATTGTTCTGTATGTTAAAGTTTGACAACAGTAGCGATCACATTTCTAACTTAATAAAATACCATGACACTTAGCGAGACGCTACCTCATAGTCCACCGCCGACCGACACTATCATATTACTGGGTAAAACATTCAAAAGCCGGACAAGGCAAGAATGTAGACCATATTTTACTACAGTACTTAGTTACCAGACTAATTTTTCATTCTTGCAGATTTTGCTTTTGAGACCTTGGAGAGTGAGGAAGGAAGATATGAACATCTGGGTGGCTGAGAAGGAAGCTCCAGTTTTGCTTGACTAAAATTTGGTAATGAGGACATTTGCAAAAGCCAGGCTCCACATCTGTTAGCTTTAACCAATACGTGGAAATCTCAAAGGGCTCTGTGATTAGCGTATCTCATCCAGGTCATGTGGTTAATTAAAAGAAACCTCTACCACTGCTTATCTTCTCCAACAGCTTTTGCTACGGTACTGTAATATTCAAATCACTTCCCCATTTACTTTGCTAGATTCGAGTCCAGTAGCACCTTATAGATCAACAAGATTTTCAGCCTATAAGTTTTCTTATAGGGATGCTCTAGGCTGATCCTGCATTGAGCAGGGGGTTGGACTAGATGGCCTGTATGGTCCCTTCCAACACTGTGATTCTATTTTAGAAAAGAAGATACTGATATAAAAGGGATACAAAAAGAAAAGAAGGGTTATATAACAAATATATAGAGCATCTGGCTGTCCTTGACTAGGGCCAGGTGGAACACTTCCAGCTGAGATCCAGGCCCTGCAGGACCTAATTCAGTTCCGCGGGGCCTGTAAAACAGAGTTGTTCTGCTGGGCCTATGGTTGAGGACAGCAATGGGTTCCATCATCAACTGGCCTCCCCTCTCTCCTCTCTCCCCTTTTCTCCCTCCCATTTTAGGCCAGACAAATTATGCGCCACTACCCTCTGAGTTTTATGCCATCTTTTAAATATACTGTTAGTTTATAATATAAGGTATTTTATTGTATATTATTAGGTATTTTATTGTACTATGTATTGGAATGCTTTTATCATGATGTTACCAGCTCTGAGCCTGGACACAGGGAGAGCGGGATACAAATATAATAAATCTAATAAATCAAATATATATCAAAGGTTATTATACATTACGGGGTATATAGAACTGAAAATATTTTCCCCCTTCATTATAATTCTAAGACATTTTCTATAGAATACAATAGTCCTTACTTGAAACCTTTTAAATTTCAAATTTCATAACTGATCTATTTTGCAACTATAGAATTAATTTCATCATTACTACACATTCTATGTTACATATTTTGTCATTTCTACATACTAGCTATGAGGGATGGGCATGGAACTGGTTCACGGACCTAATTTCGTCATGGACTGGGGGGCTGGTTTGTGGCCTGTTTGCCCAGTCCATCCATTTGCGGTTTTGACAGACCACCCATGGACCACAATTTTTTTAGGTGGTCCATTTGGTCCGCTGGAGTGGTCCGTGGGCCAGACTTACTGGTGCCCAGGAAACCGTTTAAAGTCATGCAGCTGCTGCAGGTTGCACAGCATGACAGACCTCACAAACCATGAACCTCAATTTTTCTGGTCCGTGACCATCCCTACTAGCTATAGTTTTTAATATACCAAAGTTTAAAGGAAAACCTATTCTGTATCTCACAATAAAAAAAAAAATGTTATTTTTGTTCAAAATTCATTTCCTTACACATTTATATTCAAAACTTGTTCTCATTCTGCTTCTACGTGATAATACATTTATATGCATTTCAATACATTTATATACAATTTTAAACTGTTTCTCATTCTATTTTTGTCTCCTGCTTTTAATATATTCTGCATTTTCCCATGTATTTCCTTCCAATATCTTTTTGCTTTTTTACAAGTCCACCACATATGATAAAACGTTCCATCTAGTATATCTTGACATTTCCAACATTTTCCTTTGTAGTTTTTATCTACCTTCTCAATATCCTTTGGAGCAATATACCATCTGAAAAACATTTATACCAATTTTCTCTTATGCCTGGCTAGCTGTGAACTTAGTTTCTTTTCCCCATAACTGTTCCCATTGGTGCATACGTATTTACTCTCTAAAAGTTACACATTTTTCACTTCTTCTGTTTCTAACTGAAGGAATAACTTATATATCCATTGTAGTATATTATCTTTTTGTTTTGTAATCAGCTGTTCGAACTCAGTCATCTCTCTTAGAGCTCCACCTTCTGTGGTGATAATCTTCCTTAATCTAGAAACTAATTGATCATTGAATGTTGATTAATTAATCACTG